CTGCTGATATTAATCATGGTGGCTTAGGATTATTGTTTCAAAATATCTGACATAATCCTCCTCGTTTTTTGTCTTGAAAAATTTCCCCTTGCCTTACTTTGTTTGAACACACCCATAGTTCATGATGACATGTGTGTCCCCACTGCAATGCTCTGCTGTTCCCCAATAAGTATCTTTATTCTTTGAAGAATCTCTCTGACTTTTTTTAAATTTAGGGTGACAAAAGCAAACGGGCCATTATACTCGTATAATGAGTCCTAGGATGGGTGCACAGAGGGGCATTGGGAGAACGAAGAAAAGCCATCAATCAAATGGACATGAATTACGGAAGTGGTTAGGAGTCAATGAAATGGGTTGGGCAGGTCTTCTACAATGAGTTGATGGATGTGTAAGCAAGGCCTGAAGAATGGTAGGATTTCTGCAGAAGAATGGAGCTGAGGGAGAGAGGAGAGAAAGTAGGCTCCTGACAGCAGGAGCAGGTATTAGGGAATTTGAAGAAGCCCAGGCCATTTGGTGTGATTGCAGCATTTGGTGTAGGAAGAGGAAAGAACAAATGTGGTAAGAGATGAGGCAGAATTGGTTAAAGAGTTGCCCTTTGTAAAAGGTCTTGGAAGGAGGGCCAGACACGGTGGCATGTGCCTGTAATTCCAGCTACATAGGTGGTATAGATAGGAGGATCAAGGTCTGAGGTCCACGCAGGGAAAAAGCATGAGATTCTATCTGAAAAATAACTGAAGAAAAAAAGAGCTGGAGGTATGGCTCAAGTGGTAGGGCACTTGCTGAGTTAAAAAAAAAGAGAAGGAGTTTGGTGGTAATTTAAGACCCATTGGAAGTCCTTGGAGGGTACTCAGGGGTGGTGCATAGATGAATTAGATTTGTATTTACAAGGATTATTCAGGTTGGAGCATGGAGACATTGAAATGGGACAAGAATGGGGACAGGAAGACCAGGAGAGATGTGCTAGAGGCTGATCTAAGGCAGTACCCTGGCAAGGGAGGAAGAGAAGACACACGGGAAGTAGCTAGGAAGGAGAGCAATCAGGGCTTATTGTGAATTAGCAGGAGAAGGAAGCGGGCTAGGTAAGTGGCTGGTGGTGACGCCACTGCACATAGGCGGTGCAAGAGGAGAAGCCACTGTGATTAGTAGGGATACCTCTCTTTGGGTTCAGTGGCCCTGAAGTGTGAGCCCCTCTACTCATGCAAATGTTGCCGTCACTAGATTTCAAGCAAGGCAAAAGGAAGCTGATACTCCTCACCTGTGGCACTTGAGAGAAGCAAGCACACTGTATTAGGAGCTCTGGGGCCCACAAGGTAAGAAATCACAAAATTCTACCTTTAATGTAACAAACTTTCCATCCTGCACCCTCACCCCAGGCATCTGCACACACAAATCAAAACCCTCTTAAGTCATGGAATGAAAAAAAACCATAAAAAAAAAAAAAAAAAAAGCAAGCAAAAAGCACTTCCTGTGGGGTGAATGGAAATTTTTGCCCAGGTTATTTTCCAGGCACAGGAAAAGCAATTCTGAATAGTTAAAACCACAAGGACTTGTATTCTTAATTGAGTTTTTTGAGTAGGCCGGGCACAGGAGGGATCACATGAAAGAGACCTTGGCATGAGATACTGTTTACATAGAAGCAAGCTCTGCTCCTCAACTCGTCAGCAAACGTTCTGCACACCAAGAAGTTTGATGGTTGGGTAAAAGCAAACTGATTCATATCAAATAAAAATATACATGTCTACTTGAACTAAAGCTGAATTCAGCTATAACTTGCACAACTTTTCTCCCCTTGAGACAGAAACATTGAGCTTAAATTTTATTAGGAAATCATTTTTTTTGCATTCAAATAATTTGGAACTTCCTCTAGGACATGAAAATTCCTCCTCCATGAAAACGGGAGGCCAATGATGTAGCAGTGTAACCATGAACTCACATAAGTTGCTTGCCACGTGAAAAGACCAATGACTTGAGGACAAGTAGTTGGGGTAAGGAAAAAGGTTTATTCAGGCCAGGTCTGGTGGTACATGCCTGTAATCCCAGCTACTTGGGAGGCAGAGATAGAAGGATCACAGTCTCAGGCAGGCCTCAGGAAAAAGTGTGAGATCTCATCTAAAAAAATAAAGTAAATCAAAAAGGATTGGAGGTATGGCTCAAGTGGTAGAGCGCTTGCCCAGCAAGCGTCCCTGAATTTAAACCCCAGTACCACCACCATTTTGCTTGGGGATTGCAGGCACAAGGCTTCTATAAGAGTTTGTGAGGAGGCATATCAGCTAGGTGGACACCAGGGTAGTTACAAATTTTGGGAGGTCTGCTTTTCTGATGGATGGGCTGCTGTTATCTGTAGTTGGTCACTGGAGGCTCTGGGTTCTGTAAATCTACAGAAAAGTTAGTGAATAAAAAGCATTATGACTCAGGTCTTTTTAGTTCCTTTTCCCAGGAATTGTTAATTCTGCAGTTAATTATTAGGCTACAAAAGGTGTCTTTTCTCCAGAGAACAGAGGAAGATGGCAAAAGGCTACTTTTCCTGGAGATCGGAAAGATAGTATTATTTGGAGAACAGATTTTAACTCATTTTAGGTGGCTTCAATCAGAGATGTCATCTACAGCAAAGTTAGTCAGAGATGAATGCTATGTGACCTCCAAAATTAGTGATTTTGGGGAGGTGGGGTGGGATTGGGGTTTGAACTCATGGCTTTGTGCTTGCAAATCAGGCACTCTACCACTTGAGCCATACCTTTAGTCTGATGGGGTCTTGTGAAATATATCGCCCAGGCTGGCCTAGAACCCTAATCTTCTTGATCTCCAGCCTCCCAAGTAACTATGATTATAGGCATGAGCCACCGGCACCTGGCATCAAAATTAGTGATTTTTTTTTTAAGTCAATTAAGTTCAAATGAAGCAGGAGAGTTGTTTGTCCTTGGTAACAATGTAACCCAGTAATTTCTGGCCAGATAAATGGAGGCCAGCAGCAACACATGGTAATGGAAAATGTGGATTCCAGCTTTTCATTGTCTGAGTTTGAGCTGACTTCCCCAGAGGTCAGCTCTGTGACCCTAGGCTAATTACTTAATCTCTCTTACTCTCAATTTCCTCATCTATGATCAATGATAGTTTCTCCCTGTAGAATTGTGAGAAGAGAGTGAGTGAATGCGTGTGGAGCACAGTGCACCTGCTCAATAAATGTTCATTATCCCGTTTCCACCTTGATTCTCCCTATTTGGTACTGCAGCCAAGCCCTAGAATGTGGGGCAGCTTGGTTCATGTGAAGTGAAAGCTCCCCACACTCAGTTCCTAAGCTTGGCCACAACTAGGTTAAAAGAGGTCAGTTCTCCACCTCTCACGTTTTTGCTGGCAGAGACCCCAGCCCAGTGCCCCTGGAGCTGGCGGCTTGTCCTCCTGAGGCTGTTGGGGGTTCAGAGGGTGGGAAAGGGAGGAGATCAGGGCAGCAAGTTCCCAGGGGTTCTGGTGGGCCCGTCTCTGATGCTCTGGTTAGTGAGGCTCCCTCAAAAGCTTCCTTCTCACCCACTGCTGAGACTCAGGAGTCCCAGAAAAGACACCTAGGGGCATCCCTGGTAGCTTAGAGAACCACCACAGGGTCAGCCTCTTCCTTGTCTTTGAATCCCTGGGCTCTAGACAGTATCCTTATTGTGGTTCTATAGTCCCAAACCTGGATCTGCTTCAGAGATAGGACATTTTGTTTCCACACCTTGGTTGTCCTACCTAACTGATGTCAGCTTCTCTCCTGATGTCATCTTTGCAACCTGAGAGCTGGCCACTCTGCAGAAACCCAGCCAGGATCCAACATCTGGGAAGCCAAGTCAGTTCTCTGGGTGGCAGGGTCAGCAGGCCTTGGCATGAATGGTTCTATCTGCGTTGGTTAAGAGTGAGGACCCTGGAGCCAGACTCTCCCAGTCCTAGCAATTATGCTTTCTAACTATATGACTTGGGCCAGGTCATGCACTTTAACCTCTCTGTGCCTCAGTTTCCCTCATTTCTATAATGGGGAGATTGGTGACCCCCCACTTCGCAGAGTGGTTAAGAGGATTAAGATAAATGTATATACAAATAATGATCCATTTAAATACATATGAAACACAATACAAATATGCTAATATAGTAAATACAATAGTATTATAATAGCAATAGTAAATATAATGTATATTTTATATATGCTAAGTATATTATGTATTATTTTACATTTAATTTTACATATTATCTGCATTAAGATGTGTTTCATATAAAGCATTTAAGTACATATAAATGCATATAATTACCACATATAACAGTAATTATTATTATTGTTACTGTCTATTTTATCTCCCTGCAGGGATAGAGGCACCATGACAAGCTTCTTAATTTTCTTGCTTTCATCTGAGTCTATAGATGCAGAATCCCTGGTTTGTACAGATTGCAGTAGTATGTAAATCAGGGTTTAAGTTTGTTTAAACTCAACCCTATCATTTGGAAAATTATAATCTATGGTGAATGTCATATAAATATTATTTCTCAGATTCCTGTGATGCTTCTCTTTCAGATTTCTTTATTTCAACTTCTTCAAAAATTCCATTGAGTTCTTGTCCTATTTTAAATGTTTTCTCATCCCTGGAGCAAACAGCGTAAGGTAGAAATGTGTCAAAAACATATGTCTTATTCCTCATGTGGGTTTTGGTAGATCCTGTTACCCCCCAAAACTATTGACCAGGAGATACTTCCAAACAAAGTGTTCAGAAAAAGAAAAGGCTTTGTCTCTTTAGCTTGCTTTGTTGGAACCAGAATAAAGGTCAGAGTTTTCCTCTATCTTGGTAATCATCAATAATCCATGAATTAGACGTTTCACCTCCATAAGAAATTTCTCCCCTTCAGCCATTGACATCGATAAAGTGACACTCCCTTGCCTTGATGGGAAGTGTGACACTACAACAACTCCCACAAAACCACTTCCTTTTCAACAAATAGAAAACAACTGAGAACATGACTTCACTGTTGCCTTTGAATGCAGGAGGAGAGGGTGGCATCTGTTACCGGCAAACATGAAGTCAGACCTCTGGTATTTCTTTGTCTTCTGCTTCCAAATTGAAGTTTTAACAGGTGGGTGGCATATTGAATATTTCTTATCAAGTTATAATTCAAATGAACATTAAGAAGAATCAAAAGTGGAAAAATTAGGCACCAAATAGAAAATGATTTTGTTTTTTGAAGGCAGGGACAATTTCAGAACAGCCTAAGCACATGGCTAAGGTCACTGTGTCACCCATGTCAGTGTGGATGGCTTTGAGTTTGTATTGCTGCCTTTGATACTGTGTCTTAACATGAAAAAACATGTTTCAACAGACCATTAAATTTTTAAATTACCTGCTTGGAGTTACCTGTCAGTGGATAAAGTAGAAGAGTAGCTTACTGTTCTCAGAGAAAGATGAAAGGCAAAATGACTTGTCAGCAGAATGGAAATTAAGTAGCCCTGGCATTTGGTTTGGGAATTCTATGGTAGAAAATAAAATGAAAGGACTTTGAAAAGAAGGATTTTGATTTTAATCTTACCTGGATGGTCCATTGTGTGGAATGCATAGGCTGTCATGGAGTTTTTATTGATGCTAAGTAGCAGGTCCCTTGAGAGACCAAGGAGGAGTGGGTAATTAAAAATACTCATCAGATTCCAGAATTAAAAATCATTCTGGAATCTTTGATTCTTTCTCTTGAATGGTATGTATCAGATTATTTGTGAATAGTTCAAATCAGGCTGCCTATAATGTAAATTAATACATGTGTTTCTTCTGCTTCTCATTCTGTGCATTTTTATATTATTTTTCTTTTCTCTTTTACTCTGTGTCTTGTTCTTGAGGCCAGGATAAGTGAAGTGAAGTTATATTGAACAGGGGATTTCCATTAATAGAAAAAGTGAAGGCAGAACTTTTAGAAAGTATAATCATTTCTAGAAATGCATTTTTCAGTGGTACCAAGCAATAGACGTTAGTTTTTCTCTCCAAAAAATATCACAACTAAAATTGGATTGATCCAATATGTGATCCTGCGCTGTCTCAAAGTTCCTTGAATGCTCTTAGGTAAACAGGAATGAGGAAAGGAGGGTCTACTTGGACTAAGTCCCAACAGCAGATGCTGCCTGATTTTTTTTAAGTATGCCTTTTCTCCAACCTCATAGCATCCTGTAGCAGCATAAGCAATATACGAATAGCTCTGGAATGAAATTCATTCATTCATTCACTAACTCATCCATTCATTCATGCAGCATTGAGCCCTTGCTACACAGAAGGTGCTAGGCTAGCTGCTGTATGTCCAAGGATGAACAGCCCCAATCACTCACTGCCTGCTCTCCCAAAACTGAGTGCTACAGAGAGAAATACCAATCAAACAGTCCTATGAATTGATAATTATAGAGAAAACTCTGTTGTATGAGAGAATATACTACAGAATCTGACCAGATGGGGTGAGTGTGTAGCTGGGGATTGGAGAACAGGGTTCATTAAAGTCTTTTCTGTGCAAATGATGCTTGAGTTGAGATTTGGAGGACAAGTAGTTATCAATGGGGAGACTAGTATGAAAGTGGAGAACATTCTGTAGCATGGAAAAGTAAGTGCAAAGCACCTGTAGAAGGAAGGAAGGAAGGAAGGAAGGGAGGGAGGGAGGAAGACAGGAAAGAAGGGAGGGAGGAGGGAGAAAGGGAAGGAGGGAGGAGAGAAGAAAGGAAGGAAGGAAGGAAGGAAGGAAGGAAGGAAGGAAGGAAGGAAGGAAGGAAGGAAGGAACGAAGGTGAGAGGACTGGATGAAGGCAGGTGTGCCTGATCACAGAATAGGAAGAGGTTGAGGCTGGGACAAGATGAGGCTGGTAAGGAAAGCAGAGGCCAGACCACTCAGACCACAAGGACCATTTTCAATATTTTGGATTTCCTTCTGAGAATATTTGTATAAACCATTGCAGAGTTCATTTCTACTGCCAAAAAGCATTCCAAAGTGACAAACCCAATGCAGTTATGGTGGTAGTATTGCACTCAAGAGTTTCGAATTAGCATTTTTGTTATTTCTATAGAAGGATGGATCCAGCCTGTTGTCAGACAGCTGATGAATAAGTTATACTTCTGGAATAATATTCATCTGAGATTTTAAGTGAACAAAAACAGTATTCACTCTCATCATGCAGAAAACCATGCTATGTGGAATGCAATACCATTTTCTAATCTGACAGGTGGTAAAATTGAGGCACGAATTTCTAAAAGGTGATAATTAGTATACTAACAATAATTATATTCAAAATACCACCATAATGCATATATCCAGTGACTCTTGTTTTAAAAGCACTAAACTCAAAGTTCAAATAAACTAAGCTCTTGTAGGTTCCCCCACAGCCTGGTATTGGGGATTGGACTCGGGATCATCGTTGCTAGGCTAGTGCTCTGCGACTTGAGGCATGCTTCTAGTCCTTTCGCTTTAAATTTGTTTTTCAGATAATGTCTCCCGCTAACTTTGCCCCAGCTGACCTCTCTAACTCCTCTACCTCAGTCTCCCATGCAGCTGGTACCACATGCATGCATGAACCATGCCCAGCTTGTTTTTGAGTTAAGGTCTCAGTATCTTTTGCTTAGGCTGGTTTTGGACCAGAATCCTCCTGTTGTTGAACCCTCAGTAGATGGGATTATAGGTATGAAATACCACACCCAGCCTCACTGTCATATTTTTAATCTTTACAACTCTGTAGGTTTTCTCATGTCACAAAGATGTAGGTATTTCTTTTAGTCAATAGCTGAAGAAAGAATCTCAGACCAGAAAAGGATACATGATTTGTTTTACAGTAGTTAATGGCAGAACCACAATTAGAACCCCAATGTATTTGACTCCAACATCTACATTCTTTCAAACTGGAAATAGCAAGAGCTATAACATAAATCTTATGGTAGAGAAATTCTAGTCAATTTTGTTATTTCATTGGTGAATAAGGATTCCCAGTCTTCCACAGATCTCAGTGTAAAATTTAACAAAGTTTTATTCTTTGAATGATTATGGAAGAGTATGACGCTCTTCCTTATAGAATCATTTGGGGAAAATGTGAATCCTTGACTGGGTTTGTTTCATTTTTTAATTTATTTTTGGTGGGACTGGGATTTGAACTCAGGGCTTCATGCTTGCAAAGCAGTCAGTCTACCACTTGAGTCATAACTCCAGTCCATTTTGCTCTGGTTATTTTGGAGATGTGATCTCATGAATGGTCTCAAATTATGATTCTCCTGTTCTCAGCCTCCAAAGTATGTTATCAGCTCCCGATAGTCCCCAGAGCTCAGAGAGAAGACTGTGGAGATGAGTGTAACTGAGCATCTCTGGGTCTCTCAGGCCTCTGCAGCTATATCTGGAAGTACAGCCCTCTAGTATTGATGCAGCATTGAAAAAAGATTGCCAATCTTTTGATGGATGACTTTAAGCCATTCCCACTTGGCACAATAAACCTGTGCTTGCTTTTATTACTTCAAAATTATATTTACTTACTACTTATTTTCTTTTGCTGTTAAATCCATTTTAAAATTTTTTTGTTGGTACAGGAAGTCTTCTTAACTCTGCCTCTGGTGAATTTGGATGGTTGACTGCATTTCTTAATTTTTAAAGTCATTATCATGTTTAGAGGATCTTAACTGAATGTCTATTGACATGTTTACACTTGCAAAAACTAGTCAAGTGCTCAACCACTGAGCTACATCCCCAGGCCTATTTATTTATTCTTATATTGAAATAAATATGATGTTGCCCTTGTCTGATGTGTCTAGTCCCCATTCCCTGCACTGATAAGAGAGTTTCAAAATGTCCTTCCCTTCCCATTCTCACACTGCCCCTAGTAAGCACACCCCTGGTCCATACATAGGTTTTGTGGAAATAATTTAAAACTTACAGCTGTAGATCGTTGCTACATTTCCTCTTACATATTCTTCTCCTGTTTCATGAGTCTCTTTTTTACACTTACACATCTCTTCAGTGACAGCATCATTCTGGACACTGGCTCCTGTCTTGCAAGTTCTATTCTCATCCAGTGGTTAGAGGACTTCCATTATTGTCAGAGTCGCCTGACTCCCCATATCTCAGCACAGGTGAGATGTCTTTCTTGGAACTAAGATTCCTGGATAGCAGTCTTTCATCTTAGTGGTCTGAAGATTTTCTTCCATGGTCTGCTGGATTTTTGGATTGTGAGTGAGGAATTCCATGCTAGTCTAATTCTCATTCTTTTGTAAGCAACTATAAAACAACAACCGAAAAACTCTTTTGAAAGCTATTCATTTCAATATAGGAATCCAGGAATTGTACCAGCTTATGGCTCTCTTCTTTTGGATGTTTTCATTAGGACTGGGTGATCCTCTTCAATCTGCAGATTCAAACTTTTTTTGTTTTTGTTTTTTTTTTCTTTTAGTCATATATGCATACAATGTTTGGGTCATTTCTCCCCTCTTCCCCCCACCCCCTCCCTTTCCCCTCTGCCCCTCCCTCTTCCCCCCACCCCCTCGCTATCAGGCAGAAACTATTTTGCCCTTATCTCTAATTTTGTTGAAGAGAGAGAATAAGCAATAATAGGAAGGAACAAGGGTTTTTGCTGGTTGAGATAAGGATAGCTATACAGGGAGTTGACTCACATTAATTTCCTGTGCATGTGTGTTACCTTCTAAGTTAATTCTTCTTGATCTAACCTTTTCTCTAGTTCCTGGTCCCCTTCTCCTTTTGGCCTCTGTAGCTTTAAAATATGCAGATTCAAACTTTATTCTTCATTTCAGGCAATTTTTTCTCCAAGTATTTGTTTAATCATATCTTTTCCTCTATCTTCCCCCTCCCCTTTTAGGAATGCCTATTATTCTCATATAAGATCTTGGATCTCTTGTTTTTGCATCAGTGAATGAAATGGCTTTCATAACTTGGGTTTTTTCTTAACCGCAACTTGAGATGAAATGAAATGTGATAGTTTCTAAGTTTCTACTAGTATATTCTCATTTCTTGGTCAAAATCAAATGCGGTTGTGTAGGGAGGACCTAAATTCTCATCCAGCTTTACTCACAGTAAGATCCAGAGCATTGTTTGACTTAAAAAAAATTCAGTTGTAAAGTGAGC